CCAAGGTTCAACCAACCTTAATTCAGACAACCTCAGCTGTGACCCCTGCATAGCCCCCTGGGAGTCTGACAGCCAATAGAATGCATGCCCTTGCCACAGGAACAGGAAGCTCAAGTTCAAAGCCTACAAGAGGGTATAAATAACACTCATTCTCCACTCCATGTGCTCAGCTGCCCCAGGACTTCAAACCCATGTGGTCCTGTTCATCAATAAACCATCTTTCCAAGCAGCCTCCATGTCTCCAGCGTCTTTTTCCCCACTTGGAGCCGAACCCAGAAGGACATTTCTTCCAACACAACCAAGACCTGGAATGAGAGAATGGTTGAAGTTTTGAATCAGATTATACCCATATGGCCCCCGTTTTCCGATGGATCCTGAAACTCCCCATGCTTTACTGAGAAACTGAGGGAGTTGAAGTGGATGAAGAAACATCTGGAGCACTGCTAGAGGATGATGAAGAATGAACACAACTAGCATGAGGCGGACTAGAACCACAGGTTGTGGCACTGTTGGCAAAAAGCTAGTATTTTTCCAACTTTATTGCAAGTGCACAGGGCCCTCCTGAGAAGGACATATTATTTTCATCTTCCTTTGGTTATTATATAAACTGAAAGAGACCTTGGAGGGGTATTATATTATATTATGGTTCTTTGCAGTCAGCAAGATATTTAGACTGGATTTTATTATTATTATTATTTTGTATCATTACATTGTTTGTAATCCTCATGTTCTTTCTCATTGCTCTGTTGAGAGAGTACAACAGGGTAAAAATTTCAGTAAAGAAATACAATGAAAAGAGTAAATATACCAATATTTGAATCACCTAGGGAACAAGTTCCTTGGAAAACCCCAAATTCACCATGGGGGAAAAACCCCTGGAGCTGTTCCTTTCTTTGTAAGCAAAGGCCCAGAGATAAACATCTGGGTAGTTTTAAAGCTCTGGAAGATTTATGAAGGGAAAGAAGTAGAAAAAGCTTCTGAAAGATTTAGTAGGTAGAATAAATCTGTTACTGTTTAATCAGTGTTTTTTTTGTAATGTTTACTGCAACGGATTAAGAAAGTTATCTGTTTTTCTCCTAGTAAGATCTTTATGCCCCAGAAAAGGCAAAATAAAAAGAACTTCCATGAAGGTGGAGATTTGTTTTCTTCCTGAAGATGGAATACACTAATGAACCTTCTCAATGTTTGCCTGTCAAAATTATTGCCTCAAAACAGGAAATCCTGATCACAAAATCCTTGAAAACAGATGAGCTGGGTGTTCCTGAAAGTTAGAGCTGCTATGACACTGTTGCCTTGAAACTCAAAACACCCCAAATTTGTGTGGAACTGAAGACCTATTATTCCCTGAATTTTAGACATCTTTCCCCTTCCGAAAAATACAAATCACGATGTAATACAAGCAACGCCTTTATTAGGGGGATGAAGTCTTTTTATAGTGTAGAAAATTAGCCTCTAGAACCGTGTTTCTCAACCTTGGCAACTTGAAGATGTCTGGACATCAACTCCCAGAATTCCCCAGCCAGCATTTGCTGGCTGGGGAATTCTGGGAGTTGAAGTCCAGACATCTTCAAGTTGCCAAGGTTGAGAAACACTGCTCTAGAAGAATGAAATATTTGAGAAATATTAAAAAGGCACATTATTATATTTCCCTGGGTGAAAAAAAGGAAGAACATGCTCTTGGAAAGCAGCCCCCACCTTCCTTAATAGCCCACAGTAGATGTCAGCACTGAAGAGATAAAGAGGTAGCTAGCTCTATTCATAAGCAAATACCTTCACCCAAGATCCAACAAAGGAAGGATTAGCCCTCAGAAACAACAGGAATTACCCAAAGCCCCTTCACTGCATCATCTCAGTTGCACCAGAATACATTTCTTACACAGGAACAGGAAACAGAGAGGTGGGACTGAACAGGTTATAAAATGCCTAGCAAGCCCCTCCCT